ATATATATTACATAAAATAGAAAACAATAATATTAACAAATGATAACAGAAATGATTAGAAATGTTAAGAAAAATTATATATAGAATTCCGTCTTAGGCGATAAATTGTATTCAACCACTTCATTCTCGTATATTTCAATACTCTGCAACATTACCGAATGAATGTGTATTATTTTACAAAATCACATTAATTTTATAAATAAAAATTACAATTGCTTTCGTTATATTTTATACTTATTTATTACGCGGTTTTTCTATTCGCGAGCATTAAACAATAAAATAATAAGAATTGTATGTTTTTTTCTTCATTCAATAAAGAACAGAAATTAATTTTTAATCCGTTAAAACTTAATTTGAAAACTCTAAAGAGAATCATGAAGAAAAGAATGCTGTCTTCCACAAACTTACTTGAAAATTCGATATATTATTAAAAAAGACCATTAGAATTAAGAGCTATTTCAAACTTACTGTATTGATGTCCTTGTCCAACTCTTCTACTTGTTTTTCATGTGTAGCCTTCAGCTTCTCTTTCTCACGACCTTGCTTGATTTCTATAGTCTTTCTCTCTTCCACGAATTTCTTCGTATTCTGTTGCTTCTTTTCGCGAAGTCGCCTGTCCTTCTCACCTTTTGTCTTCAAAGTCTTATCACTCATTACCTCTTTTGCCATTTCCACGGATACTTTCGCTTGATTGGTATTCATATCTTTTATGTCTCTAGAATAACGTGTTTAAACGATATGGCAAAAAATATTAGAACTTATTTTTCAAATCTTTGCAGTAGCAAAGAAGTATAACAAAACAAATAAATGATGTGAACCAACTTGTCGTGCTTCGCCTGTAATTGTTTAATTTGTGTAGCTTGCACAATCTCGATCAGTCTCTTTAACTCGTCACGAGAATTCTGTGTCTGATTTTTCAATAAATCCCATTCCTCCTTTCTCTGCTTTTCCATTATGGTAGACCATTGAGCCGTTTGTTCGTTTATAATTTTCTTGACATTTGCATCTTGCGCCAAAGTATTTTTGCTAAAAATATCATGTATATTAAATAACATATTAAATAAACAGAATCTCATAATTTAACGGACAAATTATAGGAACCTGTTCTATCAAAGGGAATATAAGAAAAAAATATTATAAAGTTTAGCTAGAAATGCTTTATTGCGAAATTATAAACAAATATTGAACATTTTGGTGATATTTTGATAGAATATTGATATTTCATGGCAGTTATTATTTTATGACGATGGAAATCTAACATCTTTTATCTTTTCATATACGAAATGTACACTTTTATATTCTATGCAATGAAAATACGTTGTTTCCTTTTTCATATTTCGTTTTATATTTGTTTATAATCTTGTAATAAAGAATTTCTAATCAAATTTTATTAAATAACATTTTTTTCTATTTTTACTTATCGAATATCTTCCGGTAATTTGTCTGTTAAATCTTGAGATATCTTGTATATAATATTAAATATAATATTTTAAATTTCTCAAATTTCCTTCGCGCGATAGAATTACATTGAAGTAGAAAACTTCAACGCACTCTTTTCCTTTAGTTAATTTTTCGATGGCACTGCAATGATTCTTCTGCATAGTTTGCCTCTCTTTAGCGTGTTTCTTTTTTAGAGTATCCAATTCTTTCTGGTGTTTTTTGCCTATTTTAAAACCTTTCTCCCTTTTTAAGGATTCTAACGTAATAGGTTCCAGTTTCAATGTCTCTGCTGAAATTATAAAAGAATTGTATATATAATCATATGTGTAACAATTAAATAATATATTTGGTGCAATTTGTTCCCTTACCTTATTTAAATGAATCATTATTTTTTAATATAAAAATATAATTATACATAATGTTATTACCCTTTTTCGTTTCTTCTTCTTTCTTCTTTTTAGCATCGGTCTGTTCTATTCCGAGTTCCTTCATCGTTTCAGTTTGCTTCTCGGCGGCCTTGCTAAAACCGCCCGGATCCGACAAGGCGGCCATAAAGTCTGAAATTGGAGGCGTGCTTGTGAGAGAATGCCGTGAAGAGTGCTACTATTTTTGAGCCGCTGGGATACTACCTTCGAATCCATCGGGGACGTAAATCTTCAACTCTATGTTGCAGAAGAGCATGGGCAACGCCATCGGAAAGTTCGCTTCGGTCTTCAAGGAGATGTGTCTGTAACCAGCCTGAAGGCCGTCCAAAGGTAAGATTCGCTGTCCGAGCAATTTGCCATTTTCTTCGTACACACCTGTCGGAAATGAAATATAATGATTGAAAAATATTTGAGTTGTAGACATCAACATTTATTTACTTCAAATTTATATTATAATGGATCCATGTAAAGAAAGAAGCGTTAGTACCGAATCTGAGTACTGCTAAATCAGGAAGCACAATCTTCCGGAACAAGAATGGTTCCTCATTGTAAACCGGATTCAGACCGTTCGCCGGCACCATCCGTGTTCTGAATTCCTTCTTGATCGTGTCTGCTGGTAGACCGTACATGTCTACCTCTACGTACGTGCCCACCTTCTTATCCGACAAGAATTGCCCGGCTATGACTTGAACTGCGCACTGCGCGGTGATGATACCGTCGACGTCCTCGGAAAAGGGATCGAAGCTTCGATCGGGTCTTCGCATGAAGTCCGGTTTTAACAGATAACCCGTCGTACCGTTATACTCGAATTTTCCCTGATTAAGCTGCATCGGCAAATCAGGAGTTTGGAAATTCAAAGCCACCATCTGACAGCCAGCATTCCAAAAAACCTAGGTAAAATACCTCGCATAAAACAAGTATATGTAAAATGATCATTCTTAAAATAATATTTAATGAAAGAACGTGTGACTTTCAATGCAATTTGTATGTATAATATTAAACAATAAAAAAAAAACGCTTTTGCTAAGAATCTTAAAAATATTGCAAATAAAGATCTGAAAATAATTTTATTGAAATATTAAAATAATTATATAAGTAACTCAAATATGATCAGCAATACTGCAAAAAAATGTTAACATCAAAACAAATTCTAACTTAATAATCATAATTATGTTGAGTACAAGAAAATTATTTTTAGATTTGTATCTAACTAAATTTTTAGATATATTAAAATCGTTCTTTCTATGCAGAGATATAACGTGAGTAATAACTCTGCGGGGAATCTAAATGCGTTTGTGTATCGTCGCAGTTACCTGGGGCATGTAATTCGATGAATCAGCCCTCGTGCCCTTTGGATATATTCGACTCATTTGCCGCTTGTTGTAATTAACGAACTCCACGGAGTGAGTTTTCAGATAGTTAAGAGCGGCAGTCTCGGAGAACGAAGACATATTATGATGTATATTCTTGCCTGCAACGTCGGGGTCGAGACATTAGTACATGTCGCGCGCGCGACACATGCGCACGTGTACGCTCATTCATTTAACTCTCCTTAAGTCTCCAGGACGTACGCACCACCACATAAACACCCGTTACCTCGGTAAATTTAAGACATATATGGCACACAAAACTCATCGAGAATCGCATTTACTGATTCACGTATTCGCTGGATAAAATCTTTGCATGATTTTACAATATCTTACAAAAAAGGAATAAATATACATAGACAATAATTTTAACAGTAGGATTAATATAGAATTTTCTTTTGTTTTTCAAAAGAAGCGAAATGTAAAAGCAAGTGAGATGCGAGGTAAAAATATTTTTAAAATTGTGAAAATTATTTAAATTATATCGTATTTATTCATCTTAATCAAAGCGATATATATCGTCAGTATATCGTCAGTATAATAAAATCACCTTTAATACGAAATGAAAAATAAAAACTTGTGAAATTTATTTTTTATTTCTATTGTGTTAACGATATTATTTGATAAATAGATCTGTTGAGCTCTGAAACATGTGCTCTTAATGATATACTTCAACAAATTTGGCTCGTTATTTAATAAACTGCGATTGAAAATTGAAAAATCTTAGACTAATTATA